GAGAGAACATTTCAGGCAGGCTTAATGTATGCAAAGTTATGAAGAATATGAAGAACATGAACAATTTGGGGAACCAGAAGTAGCTGAGGATTACTGAAATTCTAAGTGAAAGGCTGGAAGTCATAGAGAGAAAGCTGGACAAGGCCAGGGTTTATCTGTAGAATAAGCCAGGGCTAGATAACAAAGGGAGTTATTACGTTGTAACAGTTTGCATTTTATCTTACTAGGAATGGAAAGCTGTGGAATAATTTTGAGCAGAGAAACGATTTGATGCAGATTTTTATGTATAATAGATTGGCTGGAGAGTAGAGGCAGGATGAATGGAAAGGAGCACAAGTCCAGGAGAGAGGTGATAAGGGCCTGAATAAGGGTGGTGAGAACAAAGAAGGGGGAAAAATCCCAATATATATTTGCTGGATTAAATAATTGGTAAATAAAATGGCCATACTACATTTGCTAACTTGAAGCTCACTGGTGATCTTAGGGACAACAGTTTTTACTGTTATAGGGTGGTAAGAGCAAGAGTTGACTGGCTGCTGTGGCTCATGCCTGTAATCCCAGCACTTTGGGAGGCCAAGGCGGGTGGATCACCTGCAGTCAGGAGTTTGAGACCAGCCTGGCCAACATGGTGAAATCCCGTCTCCACCAAAAATGTAAAAAAAAATTAACTGGGTGTGGGATTACTCCTGTAATCCCAGCTACTTGGGAGGCTGAGACAGGAGAATCGCCTGAACCTGGGAGGCAGAGGTTGCAGTGAGCAGAAATCGCGCCACTGCACTCCAGCCTGGGCGACAGAGTGAGATTCCATCTCAAAAAAAAAACAGCAAAAGTTAAGAGGGTAATGAGTTAAGAATTAAAATGACAAGCAAGTTGAATCAATACTTTTAATATGTATTTGGATGTGAAAGGTAGAGAACTTTAAAACTGTATTAAGAGATGGATAAGCAAGGGAAGGGAAATTTAAATGTATACAAAGAAAAAGTATGGTTAAGAAAGGGATTTTT